TTTTTTTTTTTTTTTTTTTTTTTTTTTTTTTTTTTTTTTTTTCTTTAATACACACTATTTTACTTCCATCTAAGTTTCGCTCTTGTATTTCTATTGTTTTTTTTTCTTGTTTAATTCTTGTTTCAGTGAGCCATTTCATACTTGACATGTCGCACAAGTTAAATATTTTCATATTGTGAATCACTTTGAAAAAAAAAAAAAAATTGTCTGACATGTACAAGTTGGATGGTTCGCGTTTCCAGGAGCTCAGGCTCAGCTTTCTTTATGCTATCGTTTTTAGTGCTCGGTCGGTGCCTTGAAAGTTGTTTGATTTTTTTTTGTCTTGTTTGCATTTTTGCTTTTGATTTGAGTGCACTTTTTTCAACTGCTTTTAACAAATTTTGTACATAAATTTTTCCGCCACGTGGGTTTAAGTTTTAACATCAACCTTTTCACGGAGGTTTGACACAAGTGATGGTGTTCCATAAAAATTTACAAAACGAAATTTTACAATAAACAAAAAAATTCTATCCCACTAATCTTGATCCGATTTTACTTCTTTTCTCAGTACACGCTATTTATTGCGTACTAATTCGTCGTAACATTTTTTTTAGCCTCGAATGAAAACTTGTCGATTACTGATAAACTTTAGCCAGATTTTTCAGAAGTTCAAGTTTAGTTTCGCCAAAAGTTACAACAAATTCTAGTTACGACCCTCTGGAAAACTTGTATTCTTGAGTATGCGTATACGGTAGATCAGGTACTTTAACTAGTGGTACATAGTAGTGGTATCTTGTCAACGTTTTCAATATCTGGATGTAATGTACTCGATATCTTAAAACTCGTTATCTATCCACTAGTTTTTTTTTTTCCATGACTATGCATACTGAATTATGAAACTGATGTACCGAAAAGTTTTTGAGCTTAAATCTCTAATGCACCTTCTGATGGACATCGTTTTTTGATACCTCGACAACATTTTCAACTTTCAACAGCTATACATACCTCGACAGGATGTATGATGAATAGAAAGCCACACAATATCGAGGCACCCTTTCCAATCACTATACGTGCACCTAGAAGATGCATCAAACGACTGAAAGATACAAAATTCTCAACTTTCCAAAGTCCGTTACTCGGACACCGACTTTGTCGATTATGCCAAATCTGGAGTACATAATGTATTGACGTAGTCTCCGCTTTCTGGTTCATTCCATTTAGTGGTCACCATTCCATTCTTGAGGAATGATGGATAACACTGACGAGAGACCTTATTCAAGTGTTCCACTGGCCATAAACTCTCCTTCCTGAAATAAATATCCGTAAAATTATAACGAAAATAGCTGAGTAAAAACGTAGAGGCTCTCGAGCGTATACTAAGTACTTGTGTCAAGAGATAGTTCAATGAAACAGAAAAAACAAGGGAGGGAAGATTCATCGGATAGTATACACATTCAAGATTTTAGTTAGGTGGGATGCTTGTAAATGTGAAGAAGAAAGTCTTGTCGTGCTTTTTGGCAGCGTATTGCAACGAGAGTAGTATACGAATTACAGGCTGTTCAATTATATATATCGCCAGGGTCGGATGAGGATGGAAGGGAGGGGGGTATGGCCGATGACTGTCTGCCTGCCTCATTACGCGGCTGGTTGAAGCACCGGCACGCCTCATTGCGGATGCAATTAATTAACGCGCCACGTCGCTCGTGAATAAAACGGCATCCCCCTGCCTCATCCTGGCCTCCCACTTGGTTTTGCGACTTTGACGAGCCTCTCGAGGGGCACAAACTTTCGCCGAGATTTTGCACCAGCGAACAAAGTGTGGGCCGGGGAAAAGCTGTCGTCATTGGATTTACAGTTGTATATAGAGGGAGAAGATGGCGAAAGAGGGAACACCGAGGATGCATAATACCGCGGGCCCATGCAAATGCACCCACTTGCATATTTTGCGAGGAGATGAATCTAGGCAGCCGAGAAATTATGCCGCGTCGTCGGTATAACAAGGGAAAGAAGGTACAGACTGCGGTTCCTTGTTTTCTGACTGGAGCCTTTAAATGGTTTCGTTATCGATTTGTACAACTGCGGAAAATGCGCTGATTGTTATTTTTGAAGAGGGTACTGTTTCCCGATAAAACGAGCTTTGCGGCAATGTGAGACTTGTGATCACTTTTCTTTTTACATATGTTCTTGGATCATTTTTGTTACTACCCATTTCACAAAAGATGTTCAAATGATTTCTCATTTTTCGTCACTTGATAAGAACTACGACTGTGATTTTTAATTGATGTCACTATGATGTTTTCTAGTGCTAATAAAGTACTGTTAATGCGGAAAAACTAAATTTTTTAAAAACTGGTTTAGATGACATTTGTAATAATAGTAAACACAACAAAAAATCACTTGACTTGGAAATTCATTCGGTCAAAATAATCACATCATAATATTTATTTAAAAGTTTTATTAGAATAAAGTGTATGACTAATGTAACAAAAACGTTTTTTTTATCAACAATAAATGTAAGTATGTGTCTAATAGTCAGGGCTAATTGTTTGTACAAACACAAAAGGTATGTTTGAAGGGCATTTATGGTGTTTGCAAAAGGTTTATGAAGAAAAATATTACCAAAGTCAAGTCTAAGACAACAAAGTCCTATGAGAAAAATTAGTGAAATCGGATTGCCTGATTCTTATTTATTTACTTATTTATTTATTTTGTTGACTATCACTTGTTTTTTCATCAAATGCTTACTTTTAGTCACTTTGAATTTCACGGTGTAAACGCTTTCTGTTTTATTACAGCTAAATCTTTTTTGTGTTTGCTTGAACATTTTTTTTCAGTTTCCATGAAATTTTCTCAATTACGTTTTTTACATATCCTTGAGAAATTGACATTTTTTTATTTCAATAAATAACACTTTTCAACTTTATTGCAGAGATTTTGAGTTTTGTAAATTTTTTATTGATTCAAAAGACGTTTCGGAAAAAAAAAATTCGAGGTACGCTGCATATTATAGCTGCACTAAAGTATGTGAAAACGAAGTTGTGTGTAAACAAAGTATTTTAGGTACGAGTCACAAACTTGTCTCTGTATCGCGTTAAAAGAGTTTTAAGCAATAAAAAAAAAAATCATAGCTCGAAAAGTTAGAGCATGGTAATTCAAAAGTGATTGACACACAAATACTTGATCTAATAATATTGCTTGCTAGAATTTATAGTCACATGCAAACATGTTTTCGATCACCTGGTATCATTTTGTCGCAGTACATGCATATTCATTTGTTTCAAGGACACGCAATAATTTCCAACGCATACATTTGCAACGAATAACGTCATTTATGCGTGTGCAGTTGTAATTAACTATGATTGACTACTAATACATTACTGAAAATTTATTTATAAACTAATTATTTGACCCAATCTCATCTTGCTCTGTGAATGTTGTTAAAAGATTGTTTGCAAAAATAATTACATAAATCATCACTAAATTTCAGTGTAACCTTTCCCCAAACACATGGGACAAGAAACATCTTCGTATTTTAAAACGCATGGCACGCTTGAACCCAATTTGCGATTAATGGCAATGACAGTATGACAATTCCCAAGTTAACGAGCCATTTGTACTCTATGAATTTTGTAGTGTCCTTAATACATATTTTACGCAACCAGTTATCTGACACAAAGAGCACATCACGTGTGATAATAAACCCCAAAGTAATTTAGTATTTTTCTCTCATGCAAACACAAATCTACATATTGTAATGTTGGACGGGGTTGCAAAAAAATCACTTGTTTTTGGGTTTGCAGCTTGATTTCATTTATATTTCAACGAAACTTGAAAAATTAATAAACTTAAATTCACGAGACCTACTTGGATTGTAAATTACACCGAATCTGAGTTACAAGACTTCTGAATTTTGCAAAATTAAACAAAGTTAATGAAATATTCTTTTGATTATCAACTAAATTCAGTAAAATTTATGAATCCAAGCAGGGCACGTGTTTGATTGGAAAGTCTCATAGTAGATTATGACTTTGACATTTTTCAATTTCTAAACTCACGTGTACACTATACACACCAGACAATATCGTCTGTTTTTACGACGATTTAAGTGTATAGTGGTTATTTCAAGGAAATTCAGATTGTTTAACAAAATTTCTTTGTTATCAATGATATCTTTAACATAAAAAGCGTATGCAAGTACTGTGTCATGATACAACATTATAAATTCGTAACCCTACTTACATTTTTTTTTATATTTATCATAATGCTATGACAATAGATTAAGAATAACGTTTTATTAGTGAACGTAATGTGCACGCGAATCCTTAGTGGTACGACTGATGAACTGAAAAGAAAGAGAGAGAGAGAAAGAGAGAGATGGAGAGGGAGGGAGATGATTTTTTGACGATAAATGTTTGAATGCTCTATTAAAAATTTGTGCCCTCAGATGAAGACGAGGAACCTCGATGCGTTCAGCTTACCCCCCAGCATAAAGGTGCGATAAGGGCGATACGAAAGGTGAGTAAGCAAATCGTTGTTCTTTCAGTTTTTTATTATTTTTATTAAGTTTTTTGGAGCTTCCAATTCGTCCTCCATACAACTTCCCGTTCTTTATCCTATTTGGTATAACATGATAAATTTACTGAATCATCATTCTATGGTGAACATTTAAATTGAAATTGATGAAGTTGCGTGTAGAGAACCATCGATGAGTTACGCTCGATCAAACATCAGCACCGATAACTTAACTACGCCATGACGTATATAGCAATTTGTTTTAATGAACATTTGGAGTGTTACTGTTTTCTCTGTAGTGTTTCATCGAGCTGTTGCGTCGATCATAATCGATGTTTTTCTATAGTTAATGATGATCACATGCACGATTTGAAAAATAAAAATCGTGTTTCTGACAGAAGATTCTCTATTCACCTGGACATCAGTACAGTGGGGGTAATCATACACTTTTTTTTTTTTTATCATGTAACACCGATATTTTGTAAACATTGAATATCACGTGGCTTTTGTACATAGCAGCCAAATGGTAACTCTCACTGTCACCTTAATGCCGGATGGACAGGCGTCTAGAGAATTTTGTGAGAATAATAAAAACCGCGGTCGACTAGATTAATGGAGTCATACACAGGAAAGTACGCGTTAACACTGACACAACAATGAAACAAACAAAATTCAATATTATTCACAGCCAATTAATAATGGAAATATAGTTAACGAACACTCTAACCACTAATATCATTGACTTGCATTGAAAAGTATAATACAGATGGCATATCAGCGACGAATCAGTGAAAAAAATAATATGTAACATTATAATTATAATGTAAATTTATCTGTTAAATTAAACAAATCCATACTTACTACAAGACATTACAGTATTTTTTCACTGATTCAAAATTGATAAATCACAATTATCGAATGATCAATCCAGGTACTGACAACAATAATCAACTTATATTACGTATTGTCGATTTTAACCCCTTTCTAGCTACGAAATTATTTCCTATGATTTTCAAATATTCTAAAAACAGTGTTTTTTGCTAAGAAAGTATTTTCCTAACAATAGTTGGTATTGGGTTGATCATTTAATAAAAAATATCAAATGTTAGTGCAAAAAATAATCACTGGTACTAAAGCGTTTTCAACTTGTTACTTTCTTATTTTTATAAATTACACGAATAAAAAAAATCTTTTGTCTAAAACTGAAATGTAAATAAAATAATTTTACTTGTTGACCTTGCAAATATTGAAATTTTCTAACATAAAATTACTATGAAATTCTTTATCAACTTAAAAAGTTTAAGATTGCAATTAACTTGCTTTCTTCGCGAATAAGTAAACGCGAGGAGGATAAGTAAATTTAAAAGTAACCAACCAAAATAGTTTCTGTCCTGTAAAAAAAAAATTTTTTTTTTTTTTTTACAAAATTACGCTTTGTTTTGTCAAAATAGTGATTAGTTTTTGTATTCCATTGGTTGGATAATATCTCATACAAGGTCGCACACAAACTTACATGTAGAGCAGAGCCCGATAGTTCCCCACAAAATAACACACAAAAACAAAGAAAAAAAAAAAAAAAAAAAAAAAAAAAAAAAGTACAACCGGTATGTGATAAGGTTATCTAACAAATCGTGTGTGAACAACTTGTCCGTATTTATATATGCCAGATGAAGTACTTCGTGGCGAGGCGGAAATTCAAAGAGGCGCTGAAGCCGTATGACGTTAAGGACGTGATCGAGCAGTACAGCGCCGGCCACGTCGACTTGCTCGGTCGCGTGAAAAATATCCAAACTAGGTAGTCTACTCTACTCTCTCTGCTATATACTTACTTCTCCTCTGCTACTCTTCTCTCTTTGCCTCAAACTTGTCTCACAATAACTCCGCCCCTTACGACGCGCTGGCTCTCCCCGATTCTCAACGGACGAAAGACTATTATCCATCCTTTTTTCTTCCACCCTCGTAATACATGCCACACGCAACCTCTGCACTTTCACTCGTATCATTCCTGCTTCGAGTCCTTTTATGCCCGACGACAAGCCAAAAAAATTTCCCACCACCTCTTTCCTTGGAATTATCGTCGGTGATACAGACCCATCCAAGGGACAGGGAAAGGATTGCCTTCGGCGCCAATAACCCACCCCAGTCACCTGTACCACCCTTTTATTTCTCACGTTCGAATGTACGTGTTCATTGTACGCCGTGAATTTATTCCCCCCGCTCTTGTGTCTACATCTCTTTCTCTATCTGTCCCCCGTCTTGCACTTGCATGACCTTGTTTTCTCGTGCGCGTTCAATCAAGAAACCTGATTTTTCTCCCCCTCCTTGGAATGCCGTGTAGATGTATATATTTATACTACCCTGTGTACATGCAAAGGTGAAAGGATGTTGAAAGTATATATTTTTACTACGTTTTTGGATGGGTCAAATTATTCAAGAAAATCCGTTGGAGCCTGAATTTTTACATGTTTTCTAAGAATGTTTATTTTTGGGGTTTTTTTTGCGATACAATACATTTTTGCCAAATATTATATTTGTATACATAGTCTCTAGATATAAAAGAACAATGACGTGCAAAAAAATTGATTTTTTTCTAAAGTTATAATTGTTATTACATGAGCTATAGGCGAATACCATAAGATGATAGACATTTTTAAGTAAGTTTTGCCAAATCAGAGTGTTTAAAGTGAAATAAAAACCATCCGTGGCTGCAATTGTATTTTTTACTTCAGAGGTAGTATATTATTACCCTTTTAGTGAGAAAATATTAATATTTAAAACAAATGGAAAAAAATATTTATTATGAGATTCCAAGTTATTGCTTATTTACTGACTTGAAATCAATTTATTTTCAACATTCAAATCACATAAGCATTCAAGTAAAATCAACCCCTAGCTATAACAGTAACTTTGAATGATAAAAGAGATTTTGTTAACTCATACTATGAATGCGACGAGGATCCGTTGTACATAAGTTTTATGAGTTGAACAAGTTCAGTACGAAGTTACACATGCACAGGTAGCTCACTTTCTCGTACTTAGATAAAGTACAAGGTTGCACGAGAAAATTTCGAAAACATAATGAAAGTTACGCATGGAATAGTGAGAACTCGAAATGTCATTAAAAACATCCCTTCCGCACAGCGTGAAAATGAACTCGTGAACTCAAACTATATACTCTCCTGGAAACATCCTCAAACTTAAATCTTCCCCAACTGTTTTCATGCAAGTGTGTGTAAAATTCAAAGATGCGCACGTGTCTCTATTTCTTTTTTCTGTCCTTCAAAGCGTTCCCTAAATTGGACTTTCAAATTTAATTGATGCTCTCGCGATGGGCGGATACTCGTCCCCCAATGAGACCCCGATATGTCTTCTTTCTCCAACAATAAAAAGATACAAAAATAATACGTTCGACTTCTATTCGACCATATTTACTTATTCGCGTCACGTGCACGTATACTTTTTTTTCGCTGATTTTTTTCACACTTTTCCTTCTTACTTCTTGTTAAAAGTACACCCAGAGTTCCCAACCTTGCCTTTACATTTCATCGACGCGTCATTGTGTATCTCTCGTCCCCTCACTTCCCTTTCCGTCGATTACTCATTTCTACGTATAACTGCCTCCCTGCCCTGGCTCATAAATTATACTCTTCTTTATCTAGAGCCTCTCGTATCACGTCCCTCATACGTAATACATCACCTCCATCCTTTTGCATTTCTTGCTTTAGAATTTCATTGATCATCCCGAGTTTAGATTTTCTTTTGTCTCCCAGACGAAGTGGAATTTCTTTCGAATAGGTACATTTGACGGTTCCTGTGATGAAATTAAAACTTACCCAATTAAATTTCAAAAAGGGAGACAATAATGTTCATTCGTTGTGATTTCCCACTCAGTACTGGGCTCTTGAAACCCTTCCAACATTTTTGAAAATCCGAACAAAAAAAGTCAAAAATGGTTTACATCTTGAAAGTAAATCACGATTGTCGTAACAAGACTCGTAAGGGTAGTTCTTCCAGATGGCCCGCGAATGAAAAGTAAAACAGAGACTCTGCCGTACATCTCACGTAAGAAAGAAGATAACGAGAATGACGCTAAGCCGCGGGTTATTGCTACTTTCACGATTCCCCGAGTACCTCGGAATAAAGTGTCCTGGTCCAGCCTCGATGATAACGAAGTTACGGAACAACAACGATATAATTCCAGAAAAAGCCCAAGAGAAAGGGAGAGGACGAAACTCTCCCCACGCCGAGCCAAAGAATTCAATTAGCCAAGCCACTCCGCCTCGATACGTCCTCTCTTCGTACATCGACTCCTTTTGTACATTGCAACGGCACGGCGAATATTACTCTTGCTCGACTGCCCGAGAATTGCCGCTATCGATTACTCACCCCTTCCACCATATATCGAGAGCGCCACATTTCATTAAGCTGTCGCGCATCCCTCCCATGCTCGCTTGTCTTTCGATTAAATTCGTCCGAGTTATCATCAGCCAGCTTCTTCTATATATGTACAAACTGCTGTGCTCCACGTGTGTGTACATTTATATGTGGTACAAGCCTGGTGCGTCGCCAAAGTTGTTGTTGTTGTTGTTGTCCTTCTTCCTGATTTCTTCTCCGCTTCGCTGGATGGGGTGTCGATCGATCCTCCATCCCTTCCACGTAATTACCCCCGGTGGTGAGGCACATTGTGCATGTACCATACCTGTGTGTACGTGCGTGTGGTGGAAGATTTGCTCGACCTCTTCCTCAATGGGTTTTGCACTGCGGACACGTGACGTTCCAAGTTCGTCGTTGTATCCGTTGCAACGCTTTGCCTATAGCCGTTCCACCTAACCGACGTTGAATTGAATTTCCATTGGTTCAGCGTGCCCTCTTCGATCGACGCTTCCTTGGTTAATTAGATCTTGAGGTCTTACGGTATAATACATTTATGTATTGCTTTTAAACATTTTTAACTTTCCTTTTCAAATAAGTTAGAGGGTTAAGAGTATACACGCGAAACAAAGTAATTACTGATATTGATTATGTTATCTTGCCCTTCGATTACAGTTTCTGTGCGATATTTTCTTTCTGATGTTTCTATAGACAATCAAAAAGTTAAAAAAATAGTCTCATGATTAGTTCAGATCTCTGGATATTTTTGATTAATTCCCAAACTCAAAACATAATGTTGGTGTTTTTTTTTTTTTTTATATCCTTCTCTCGGCCTCGTAAGGCTGCACAGACATTTTATGGATTTGACAGTACTCCGATTGCAAATAAAGTATAGAAAAAAAAAAAAAACTTCATTTAGAAATGTTTACGTCTGAGCGCTTTTGAACTGTAATACTCTTAACTTTTTTTCTTCTAAATGATATCTTGCGATTTGAATGTATTACATGGATTATTTAAAAAGGAAAAAAAACTTTTGAACTTCGTGATTGGAGGCACAAGAAAAATTTATGCGTATTTCTCGCGAAATATTACATTTGAATAACATTAATCACAGTTTTTACAAGCTCGCGAAGCTGAGAAAAAAAGATTAAAATAAAAAATCGCGAAATTTAAGAAATACCGGGGCTACAGAAATTTATATTTCTTTACAAATTAAACGAGGCCTCAAAGAAATTAATAGGGAAATTAGTCATTGCTCTCAGATTGTCGTGGTAAATGCGGTAATCAAAAAAAATATCCTTCGAACGACTGTTACATTTAAACAAAAAGTTTGAACTTATCTACATACAGGCTCTTAAACCGAATTTACTTTTCGCGAATTCCATAAAAATCGCCCCTAAGTGGGGCATAAATATCGAGATAAGAACTTTGTTTCGGACTCGTAATCCAACTTCTTCCATCAAACAATTCCAACGTCCACGTAAAAAATACAACCACCACTCGATCATTATATTTTTACACGCCAACGAAGTATCACATACAATGTCGTAAACTCTATTATACCTCGTTTGCGCTATCTCTTCTCGTACACATGTTCTTTTCCAACGTCGTGTGTCTTTATCTTTCATTCTTTTTCCACTGTATTACCAACAACTCTCCTATCACTCAACCATCACGAATATTATACGCATATAAATATATATATACATGTAACGACACACCCGATGACTGCCTCGACCGCCCGAACCACCCCTTTCAGTCTCTACTAATAGCTGTATAACGCTGCGACGTGCGTGTGCCTCTTACATCTCTCTTTCTCACTCTCTCTCTCTCTCTCTCTCTCTCGCTCTGTGTCAGTGTCAAGTGTCAAGTTGCTTGTTAGCCATGTGTCGTGCGTGATGATGGTGATATAACGAAGAGCATGTAGTTTAAGCAATCCATTTTAAATATGCCGTGTGTGTGTGTGTATATATCATTAAACTTTTAAGGCGCCTGTGCAATAACCCACCTATATTAACCTTTCGGACGATCAACTTTTGTTTCACCTGATCGCACTTTAGATTTCGCGTGGCTCTTTTTTCAACTCCCCGCGCGTGCGATCGTATGTGTACACACGCCCTCTCCGTGCCGTCGTTTCGCTTGATATATATCTTTATACAGGTGGCATGAGATTTTTTAGAGTGACTACGTTTTTTCCTCGCATTTTGATGGTACTTGACTTTTTTTCTCCTTTTCTCTGATGGCCTTTGGGGTTTTATTTCTCTTCTATTGTATTGACTGAACAAAAAAGTTTTCCCAAGGCCAGATAATAATAATAATAATAATTTTTTTTTGTTTTTTCTTCATTTACTTTTGTTTTGGCAAATGACTAAACTGTACATGGTTTTTAAAAATGGAATGCTTTTTAATGAAATTTCGATATAAATTTTCACCGACCGATTATTAATTAACCAAGTATGTTTAACCATTAATATAAATTTGCACCATTAATTTTATACATCTCTCTCTCTCTCTCTCTCTCTCTCTCTCTGTAAATATCCTCGAGTGTAAAAAAATTTTAATTTCACAAAAAATAAAATAAATATACTAAAATATGACGGAATGCATTAGATTTCAATTAGTTATAAAAAAAAACTACGTACATATGCTACAGCTATGGTATTTACGAAGGTACGAATCATCAAATCATTTCAATAAAATTACATGTAAATTAAAAAAAAAAAAAAAGATATTATTTATACAATACCACCTCCCAATATAGCCAGTGAAATATCATGTTTGAGAGATGGAAAACGTATTATTTATTTACTTTAAATATTATTTGTCAATAACTCATTGAAATAAATACCTCTTCGCTCAAGTCTCATTTCACCTCGTTAACCACCAGCGAATGAACCGGATGATCTTCCTGGACTTGAAAATCCTCGCTAGTACAGAAGCGAGCATATTTGTGCCACCGATTCGCTTTTTTCCACACACATATACCATAAAATACAACACATGCATAGATAATACATACTCGATTGTCGCGGTCCCGAGGGTCGAGTTTCGAAGATTCGATTCAAACAGAAATAAGCTTTTCGTCGTAATTAAAGTTTCGTGCGCGGAATCTCCAGCTCGTATAATGTACGGTTGGTAATGCTTTCTCGCTGCACCTTCATTGAGTTTCTACTCGAGAAAAAAAATTTCGGATGCTTTCGCGGATGCACTTAGCGTTCCATATTGTAGGGAATTACGAGTTGATTAAACATGGGCTACACGAAAAAGGACAGGATACCTTTGGTGCACTGATTGCGTCCCAAATCTTAAAAAAAAATACCTTGAGCTTACAAACGAATGAAAACAATGTTATCGCAGTACAGTTGACACATTAATTATATACGACACAGTCGACAGATCGAAGCTTAGCATTGATTACTGATTAATGAGCTAGTTATTTTTGTTTATTTAGAATATTATTTGCTTCTTAGAAAATTTTATGACGTTTCATGAAACAGTCGTGTGCTTTAATAATTTTTGATGATTAAAATAGCCTTTATAATTGATACTTACTTCTATAGAGTCCTCAAATTTTATTTTGTTAAAAACAATACATATTCGTATCGATAAATGATTCTATTCAATTATCATGAATTTTCCACTTTCGTAATTGGCATGTATTCAAAAAAACTTTTGTCATTGTGCTGATAAATAGAATTTAGATAAACAATTAAATGTTTTTTTCAATGCATTATAAAAATAGTCACTATAAGACTTGTTATAGAAGCTTTATTTGATTTTTTTTAATTAAAATACTTACTATTTAGTATAGTCAATGATGTTAATCGATATTATTTATTATAATTAATTTTTAAGTGTGGATAAAAATAAAACAATGTATTTTATTATGATTAATTAACTCTTTTGTTTTGTTTCATAAGTTTTAAATCGCAAAGTCCACGTTAACAGTTTTTTAAGGTCGTTCAAACAGAAAAATACAAAAATGATGAATCAGTAATAGTGGTAGCAAAGATCTGTTGCCTTTATTGAGCAAAAAAAAACACGAAAAACAAAAAATCACATAATGTATAACAGAATCAATTAGCAAACATATTAACGTAAACATAAAAACTACAAAGTCTTCGTCGAGGGGAAAAAAAAAGAAAAACTCAAACAGATAAACAAAAACCAACAAACAAACAAAACAAAAGCCAAACAAACAAAACATAAAAAAAAACGCCAGCGTAAACTGTGTAATGATGTGTCTGGAAACCGCGGGGGCGTGATCGCAGCTGAAATACTTCGTGGCCCGCAAGAAATTCAGGGAAGCCCTGAAACCTTACGACGTCAAGGACGTGATTGAACAATACAGCTCCGGCCACGCCGATCTACTGAATCGCGTGCGAAATCTGCACTTCAGGTACAAAAATTGCCTCGCAGGTGCAGTCGTGCCTCCTTCTTTTTCATCTTATTTATCAAAGTTTGTTTTGTTTGTTTTTTTTTTCTTTTATAGTTTTTATTTTTACATATTATTATTACTATTACTATTTATTATATTATTGATCACATGTGTACTTTTTATCTTCTTTTTTATCATAATGTTTTTACGTACATCTGAACGACGACACGAGCATCTAGTCGTACTGTTATTTTACATCGTTATTATTATTAAATTATCAGCTTATTTTATATAGTAGCTGGGAAAAATAGTGTTTGCATTTACATAACAATCATAAGAATACAGCTTTACGAATGTATATGATTTGGTACGATGAACTATCTTGAAAGTGAAATTTTTAACATAAAAACAAAAAAAAATATTCTTGTGGATAATACAAAATATTCCACTATTACAAAAAACCTGAGAAGTAATGTTTAAAAATAAAAAATAAAAAAAGTTACAATATTCAAATGCTGTTTTTCCTCTCTGCACCGATATACCGTCGTCGTATTGCGCTTTTTATATATATATATATGCATATTTATATATGCTGCAGTATATGATAGTTGGTCTTCTCCACCACACCCACACACAAGACAAGCTGCTTTTTTTCAACACGAAAATACAACTTTTTGCCTCGTCAAAAGTACATTTGACACTATACATTTTGCAAACGCCAACGTTTTTTGAAGCGGAAACCTGGCGAGAATCGTAAAAACTCCACTCACTGGAAGCGATTCATTTTTTTACCATACATTCATATTCGTTCATGTGTCATTGTTTTTTTCTATTTTTTTTTTCCATCGTAAAAAATGTATCATCACCATGAAATAGAAAAGCGTATGTACGGCAAACCGATCACTTTGAAAAAAGATCCGTAAATCTCTCTGCAATGATTCATTGTAATTAAAAAAAAAAAAAAAAACCTGTAAATAATACCTTGTACATAAACAGTAACGGTTTGTGGTAAATGTATGCAAGTAGTACTACGCATCTATTAGTTTGTAGGATTGCGTTAGGCGTCTAGTATGTGTTTTGATACTATATTATTAGAAGTACTTTTATCGGCACTATAGCAACGAAAAACTTTTTTATTTCTCCACATAATAATTATATATTATACACATGCACACTACACAGCTCTGATTGATCGAAGTGTACAGCGTATATAGATTTATATTTATATTTAGCTGAAGCATTGTTTGCACGTGTCGTTGTTGTTGTTATTTCACGAGCTTGTAATACGAGTAACCCGTAGAGGGTGGAGGCTTTGGTGTATGTTTTGGGCGGCTGATTGCACTGTTTGAGCGCCGAAGATCAATCAAGGCCCGCTGATATTAATTTCCTTGTCTGAACTGTAAACAGGTTAGATCAAATTCTGGGTAAACAAGGGTCGAAAGCGAGGGACGTGTACGCTTCGAAAATTAGCTTAGCGTCGAGAATCGTCAAGGTCGAAAGGCAGGTGAGTCTACCTCAGATGTTGAACACATTTTTTAATGTAATTCATACTATAGCAATTTTGGGTTTTGCACAACATTCCTTCCAATACATTAAAAACACTTTGTTTTCAAGTGTCAATTAAACGATTAATTTCCTTTGGGGTATTGTCCCGCGATATTCGAGGTAATCTAGCAAACTTTGTTCCCTTTTGTGTGCAAAACCTCCAGCGTGACATGGGGAAAATGATGACACGCACCGAGGTGACAGTGAAACAAAAAAGAAAAAAAAAGGTAATATTAAATAACCCACAGGTCGACGACATCGAAGCAAAACTCGACCAGCTTATCGAGCTGTACATGGAGGACCGCAAGCGCCTGTTGGCCCTACCGATGCCGGAACCCAAGCCCAACGGGGACGAGGACGACGGCGTAGCGCCGGAAACGCCACTATCCGCGGACGCCGGCACCTTGGCCGCCGGATTCGTGCTCAAGCCCATCCTCGTCGACAAGCAACTGTCCGAGCCGAGTTCCCCGACGACCGGCAACTTCCGGGACTCCGAGCGGCCCGGCCATCTGGCCGGTAAGCCCAAGCAGATGCACCGCGGCCACTCGGATCTCGGCAGTCGTGTCAAAAAGAGAGTCACCCTCAGGTAAGAGACCCCCTCCCCCCCATTCGGCCGAAATGCCTTAGGTCTATACTTCATTAGTCGTTAGTTAAGCATATAAGGAATTTGTTTATGTTCAACGACATTGGGTCAAATCACCATTTAAATAGGTGGATGGAACAAACAGTCGACTGGAGTAGTAGTTCAGTCGGTAGAGTGTGGGTGCAAACGTAGTTTAAATCGAGATGATGTAATTGTTTCTAGGATATTCATTTAAGTACGAAAATAAAGAAACAGGAATATCCTTAACTTTACAAACTCGATGTGAATTACTTTTTGAAAGCACTTTTAATATAATAATAATAATAATAATAATAATAATAATAATATTTATAATGGTATAAATAATGTTTAAAGGTACAATAAATTCGCTCAGTGATGTACATGGACTTTTCTGTGACGTATTAATTTTTTTTACAATTTTTAGCCCAAAACTTGTAACTGTGTCCGCGCATTATGAGACTCCTTTAAGGTAGCTAATCTCTCCTCTCTGATAATCCACTATGCACAATGTATGAGTCAATTTTCAGTTTCTGAATTTCTTAAGTCTTACTTAATCTTGCCGGGCTTACTTGTACTTGGATACATACATACATATATACACTGGCACTCTTGTGAAAGCTTTGACATGTGCTTTGATAAACGCACATCACAGACTCGCTCTCTCTCTCTCTCTCTCGCTCGCTCTATATTTCTCTATAATTTAATCTCTTTTTCACGTAGTCGAGTTAATCTACATCGGAAAAAACTATGTAACGTAAATGTGTTGGAAAAAATAGAATAATTACGAGATTTTTTAAAAAATATTGTTCATGAAAAGTAGTTATTATTTTCGAATCGACATTTTCATAGATTAATTTTTTTTCAACTCCAAGATTTCTTAAAGTTACATAAACATTTTTCTTTGTTTTCTTTTATTATTATTCGTTTCATAAACAAGTTAATGCGGTATCATCTTACGATATTTCCTTGTTGCTTGGATATCGCAATCGTACTAGTGAAATTTTTTTCAATTAATAATAGTTTAATTGAAAAACAGACTCGCGCATTTTTTGCATCGATGCGAAGCCACCAGGGCACAAAGGATGATGACGCAAACACACACTTTTTTTACACTTTTGCCGATACTTACTTTGCTCAGTAAACTGCAGTACACACGTATATGAAACAATTATCTACACCTCGCTTGTATTTTTCTCGTACACATAGACTTAAAATTTCTCCCCAACTGGTCATGTCTTGTATAAGTTACACGTTGAAATGAATACTCGACAGCAAAAATTAGCAATATTACTCTCGCATACTGATCGCTTACACAAAACTCTTTGGCTTGTCTTTTAGTGAGAAAGAAAAAAAAAAAAAAAAAAAAAAACCCAAAAATATTTAGAAATTTTCGCTACGACTCTTCTATGCTGATTCTTTCATGAGATGATCCTTGAAACTTCTACACTAGGACTAGAAGCGCTTGTAATGAAAATAAAAATGTATATATAATATATACTTATATACAAACACTTAGACAAGAAATACTTTTATATATACGCAATGCCGTATACATAATTGATGGGCCAACGTGACGACTGATCAAACGAAAATGTTTGTGTATCCTTGCAGCCGAGCCATCTCCCACCAACCGTCACGAACTTGTCTGCTCCGCAGTTCCATACCGTCGCACCTGGTGCTTCCGACCGACTCGTCGAGCGTCCCGGTGTCGTCATCGTCGGTCGCACCGTCGACGAAACCACCGCGAATACCAACGACAACGGCGACGATGACGACAGTTGTCGCGTTACCACCGGCTTCGGCTGGTGTGGCAACGCACTCGTCGGTAGCCCCAACCTCGGTGGTGACGACGCGCCAGGGCGACGTGGTGATAATGGTGCCTCCGCTCTGCAGCTCCGAGCTCGAGGGCGGCAATCATCAGCTGCTGCAGGGCGAGAGTGACCTGTACTCTTCCTCCTCGTCGTCGGCCACGACTGTTGTCGTTGCTCCGGATGATGACGAGCTGGACCAGAGCTCCAAGGACACAACTGGTTTGTACCTCGCCAACATTCGCATGCGAGCTTTTTTTCTGTTTTTGTTCGTTTTGTTGTTCATTTTTGTGAATCGATGTTAGTTCATGTGTTCCAAAGTGTGTTGGTGTTTGTTAAGTGGGTCATCTACACTTTCAAGTAAAATAGGAGAAAGCGTGCGAGGGTCCTTGAGTGATTTTAGGATATATTGAAAAAAAAAACTTAGATTTATCCACTTTTGCTTTGTTCAACGCTTTTCGCTGAGGTAGATGCAAGCTGTTTTTTTTTTTTTTTTTTATTGATTAGTTAATTCATTCATACGCATCACGATTTTTAAGATAAATCGCAAAAAAAAAAAATTTTTTTGTAGCATTAATAAAATCTAAAATGGAGCCCTATCGATAAAAAAAATTGTAGTTTAATGAGAAAATCTCATAGTTAGGGATTTCCATTATTTTTCTTTCAATCGCTGTAACTTTTGATCAGTAGCACTGGATCAAAGATTTTTTTTTTCAATTGATTGAAGAACAGTAAGAGAAATCGTAGTGATAATTCTATTTCGGACAGCAAAAAATAAATAATGCACGTAATACTTATTTTGAAATAAAGCACATCGATTATAGATAAAATCACAAAATTAACAAAAAGTGCAAGAAATTGACAATCACGTCTGAAACACGCTAAGGGTTGCACATTTCTCGAAAAGTACGGCCAATAAAATGCTATAGGACGCGAATCACGTAGAAAAGTATATCAGCAGATCATGTAGGTACAAGCGTACAGTCAAACAATAAGCGAGTTAGCGATGCATCGAGTACTAGATGCTTCTCTAAACTTTGGCAAAGTAATTAAAACATGCGATCTGTATTAAATAAAACAACAAAGTATTCCATAACCACAATTTTAAATATCATAGATAAGGAAAATCATAAAAATATTTACGATCGCACGTTTTACAAGTCCTAATGTACAAGGCGATACCTAACGCCCATTGTATCATGTACACAAGTATCAAGCGTGAAGTAAATCATAAGCAAATTGTGCACCCATACCCTGTTCATTATCTATACTTATTCCCGCACCCAACCCAAACTTTCCACAGCTCCTTTCTCTCTAACTCCAACTCACAAAGCAAAAGCATGTTTGTTTCTTTATTTGTGTACGTTTATCTATGTGTGTGCGTTTTACAGCATCGACGAACACTGCTCGCTCGTCTACTACGTCGTTATAGCGAAACAGACATAACACAGTAAGTTTAAAATCCCTTCCTCCCCCTCGGCCCTCTTTGGTTCTGTTTGGATGCATTCCTTCCTGTAGAGAGAGCGCATACCTTGTACATGCGCGCTATCCAGCACTTATATCCAGTGCATACTGCAGGCTTCGCAAAATTTAGCCAGCTTATTGCATGAAACCCGCAACTTTAGAGATCCCTCCCAAGTACTCTCTCTCTCTCTTCTTCAAATTCTTTCTCTCCTCCTTATTGCGTTTCACTATAGAGATTGCTTATTTAGTGTACGTTGCCAATTCGCTCATCTCCTACGATTTTTTCACTTTCACATAAAATAATCGATCGGTACTTTTTGCTTCCACTCGATTTTTATTTCTAAACGAATGGCTATCTTCTACTAACCGACTTTCGTTGGCTCTTTCATTTGTTTCATGGCATATTGTGAATGATATCGACTGTTTACTTTGTTACTGTACAAAATCAACATCGTTAACAAGTCAACTTTGAAAAATCATTGTATAATACAAGGTGGTTTATTAAATAACGGAAGTGCATAGAGGGTTTGTTTGGCTTAAAATTTATTATAAAACATAACGAGGGAGTAAAGTAAAAACTTGAAATGCTCATGAGATAAAACTGATAGCTAAGATGGTACGTAAAAATCACGTATATCAATACAATGTGTAACAACCACCAGTATACTTGAGAGAACAAGTCCTCGACAGTCACGAATTATCTTTGAGAACAAATAAAACGACTCGCTTGTTCTGTTGGAGCGCGCGTGCACACACAAACACTGCACTATCGTGTTCTCCCGGCAACTTTCGCTCGATATAAAAGTTCGCAAGCTCTCTTTTCGCAGCACATAACTTAGCGAAGCTATATATATATANTATAGCCCTCTGGCAGGGTACATCTTCTAGCAACACTTGATCGTTTAAACGTTTTCACAGAGATTTTACTATTGATTTTTTGCGCTATACATACAAATATATACCTAAAAAATAAATTAGCCAAAGAGCAAAATAACTATAAATAGATATATATATATACTCGCCTCTCTCTATATCTGCGATTTCACTCGCCCGGTTCCTATTTAACTTTACCCCGCTGACTTGACGATCTTTTCCTCCCCTCCGTGTTTCTCCATTGAATCGACGCGTTAACTGTTTTCTCTCGCGTTTCCTTCAAAGGAGTCTGATGCTCCTCCACGGCTATTACACTTTGGCACTCGATACGTCACGCACTTTTGTACACGGAAATTAAAATCTGTACAGAAGAATCTCAGGCAATTTACTATGCATTTGCATGTAGCTTATTGGCATGACAATTCACGGTAACTGTACGAGTGAATCCTCATTTGCACTTTTTTTTTATCTTTATGAGATTAGAGGCATCATTACTGATGGCTTTTAATTATGTAAACAGGAGCATGTATAATGTGTGTGTGTGTTAAAAGAATGAAAATAGATACTATTGAAAGGAAAAATTCGTTTTTTTTAAAACGTAAGTAATACAATTTTATATTGACAAACTAAAATTTACATTGTGTAAGTAATAGTTTTCAGTGGCCATTCTGTCAAAGCATCAATTTTCGTTTACTCCAAATCTTTATTAAATATAATGATTTTTCAACTTTACGTACCAAAGAATTAAATTTATTTTTTTAATTAAGTAGCATAGCGTAGTGATACAATTAGCATTCGTAGCAACTGAATAGTTATTAATTTTTTATTGATCGTTTAAAAGTGCATGGAGTAGGTTGTGATTACGTAATGATGAATAATATATTTGTGAACTTTGAAAATCATTTACTAGTACGTAAAAACTTTTTATCCGTTCAATTTTTATTATTTAATCCGTTGTGGCTTAATCGAATATAAACTTTGATGATTTTGAAACTTATTTGAAAGATTTACAACTTGACTTACTCAAAAATGAACAAACCAAAATTTTTTTTCTCGCAAACTTTTAAAAGTTGCAATAAAAATGTACTATTTCAGTAATAGTCGAAAGGTAATAATAGTGAAGTAGTTCAACGTACGTTTTGGCCGACCGATTGTTCCCCTTAAAGTATATACGCTGGATTCTAATACATCTTACTTGCTATTGTATTTTACAAAGCCGTTAAAAATTATTTAACATCAATTTTCATCGACTGGTATTCAAGCATAGTTTAGAAAACGAGATTTACGATGAATTGTCAAAACAAAATTCAATGAATAGCATCGTCCATTACACTTGTAATGTTATTTACCTTTATGACTGAGTCTACAAAAAAATAGGATCACCACCAAAACAAAAGAAATGAATAAACTCGTGGATGATTTCAGATAGGGTGGAGGATCGCGAAACCATCTACACGCGAGTCGTCTCGGATGACGACGAAAACGAGGAAGACGACGACGACGACGACGAGGAGGAGGAAGTGGAAGAATACGAGGAAGAGGGTGACAACGACGAGGGTATGGATCTGGACGCTTGCGATCACGATTACGAAGACGAAGGCGAGGAGGACGAGGAGGACGAGGAGGAGACCTCGTGCGAGAACACGGCCCTACTGGGCGCGGCGATGCGCACCCAGATAATCGTAACCCCGAGCCTAAGTCCCGTCCAGAGCAGCCAAGACATCCTCCACGAGCTCCAGCAGCAGGCCACCCAACAGCCGGCACTCTTGCCACCAAACCACGACCACCACCACCACCACCACCACTCCTCGTCCTCGTCCTCCTCGTCGTCCCGCTCCTAGCTGATGGACCGCGTCGCTCCTTACTGTCCAGCCTCGGACCCAAGGGATGTGGCCCTTCGGGCGTCACTGTGTCATGTACATTTGTTACGAATCGAAAACAAAAACAAACGCGGGGAGTATGTATACACAACATATATACACATGTATACCCTCGAAAAAATATATCGACGACGTCGCGACGAAAGGACGAGCGTGAGCGGGGGGGGGAGGCAAACGGAGGCCAGGAAGGCAGGCAGGCACGCGATCGTTTTGCTGTATACTGCTGTTGCCATATACCGCTGCTCTAGCTTTAGGTTAATTTAAAATTGCGGGCTGTTACACGTGGGATGCATGTGGGTGTAAATGTGGGTATAAACTCGCGGGACCTTGCACGACGAGGGAGATATCTCTATATCTGTCTGTGTGTGTGTGTATCGCTATTCTGTCGCGGTGGGCTGTGCGGCATTGGCCGAAGGGAAATCGATACGAGGCTCACCTACTACTCGAGTTACCTTTGACCGACTAGTCCTGTTAGCCAGAGGTGGCTTACTATTTTTTTTTTACATTTTTTGCTACCCGGTGACGTTTTCGAGCTCCTCGGCAAATCGTATATCCGGTGTATTGTTTATTTTTAGAATATGGAAATTTTCTCACTCCTGTGTTGATAACGATAAACCGAGCTGTTATAGGTAGATCCTTGCGAGTGTTTGGCGCGGGCTTTTAATAGTGCCTTTGGATTATTGGCGTGAACTGCGGGTAAGGGCTGTGGGCGTAAACGAAATTCTTTTGACGATGAAGGTTCGATATTGGTACGTGTGATTTAATTTTGTTTCCACCAGTTTTTTAAAGAAATCTCGTCATCTGAATTTATTGAATTTTTATTTCATGATGAGAGTGTAAATAATGTTTATTTGATATTTTTCTTTTTTTTTTCTTTTTTTTTTTTTTTTCAATAATAAATTTAAAGGAGTTATCAGTTTAGTGTCATTCGTGATTGGTCTTCATTTGAACGAAGCAATTTTTTTGCAAGTGATATTACTATTCAAATAAGAGGTATGCGTGTCGCGGACGATTGATGGACGAAACGGCAATTTTTTTCACTGGATGAAACGAAACGAATGCAGTTTGCCGAGAACGAGTTTTTTTTTTACCTAAATAATTTAAATTTATGGAAGAGAAAATTAAAAAAAACTCTTTGATCTTGTGTAAAATTAGAATTTATAGTAATAGCACGCGTTGCAAAAGAAATTTCAATTCATAGAATTTTTAAAGCTCTTGTCGACACATTAACTTGGAGTTTGCATTATTTCATAAAACTGTGCTGGCTAAAAAAAGATTAGAGGGTTAATGAACGTTTTTAATTCACTTTTATAGAAGTATATTTTTCATCCAGTGCTTCTTAAATTAATTAATCGATTTTTTTTATTTTCTAGTCGGAAATTCTGACGGATATTAGAAACGAGAGATATTTTTTTGTGGTACGCACTATTGATAACTTTATTTAAAATTTCACGAATTTTCGTTTCTTATGATTTAAACATTACCACAAAGACTCAGTTTGCGTAAATTTTAATCCCATAAAACATAATTACTCGGCCAATACCGTACAGCCATCAATTACATTAAAAAATCAATACGCGAGGACGTTTGCAGCAAAATAAAAAAATAATAAAAACAAGAAAAATCGAATACTCACTTCGATTCAGGGTCCAGCTTCTATTTAATATGTACACATTTTAATAGTAAAAAAAAATAAATAAATAAAATAAATTATATAGCCCTCTGGCAGGGTACATCTTCTAGCAACACTTGATCGTTTAAACGTTTTCACAGAGATTTTACTATTGATTTTTTGCGCTATACATACAAATATATACCTAAAAAATAAATTAGCCAAAGAGCAAAATAACTATAAATAGGTGGCACAACGAAAGAGTTCCATCGCCACTGTGGAGAGGGTTTTAGAGCTAAGAGAAAAATAAAAAATTAAGTACTTTAAAAAATTACTAGTAGCTGTAAGCTGTAGATATTTAAAAGTGCTAATATTATATATACATACAAATAATCTCAGCGAACTTAATGCCGCAATTAGCCACCAAATGTGTATGAAAATTGATAAACGAGAAAATAAAATAATCAATTAATGTGAAATGACAGCATTGGCTCGCGTTCGACGACACTTTCCTTCCGGTCAGTCTTCCACGCGAGAAGTATAATTGCGCACAACACGTAGATTATTAATATTATTATTATTATGGAATTATTTATCATAGGGGGCACTTTGGCATAGTCTTTCATTTATGTAGCAGCTATTGGAGCCTCTCAAAATGTCGGCCCTCAGCGCTGCTTGAGTATTATTTATTATACGAAAAACTTTAGGAAATTATTTTCATTACATTTTGCT